GGAACCATTTTTTGCATTTGCGAAAGAGTAAACCCTCGTAACGGCGTCCACTCCGACAAGACGGATTAGTGTGCAGATGAACAAGATATGGCTGAAGAATCTGATTGCTGTGCTTAAAAGAAAAAGTATTTGAAAAAGAACGAAAAGGCGCCTTTTCTCTAGTTGCTTTGATTATTGTCTAAATAGAGAGTCCGGTGATCAGACTAAGGTAACTGGAGTAATAATTAAATTATTTTTATTGTAAGTATCAAATCAATAAAAATGAACAAAATCATTGTCCAGTCAGCATGTTGTAACTCATTTTTTCGTGTTTGATATCATTGTTTCTGTTGTGAACGTGTCATTCATTGTTAACCTTGTAAAGGGAGTGGAGGGGAGCCTGCTTCTTAATCTCAAATGGCTGGCATCGAGGAATAACTAAGCTGCAATTTCTAAGGGAAAATTAAATTCAAGCTGAAAACCTGTGCTAGTAAACTATATAAATTGCTCATTTATCAATCTTAATATAGAATACAAAACTTGATGCTCTACAGCGTAATTGAACAAGAATGATTTATACATTGCATGGATGAATTAGCAGCTCACCACACTCACTATATACTTCTCCAAAACTTTGTATTTTAAACTCGATCGAGCCCCAGAAGGAAGATTTCTGGAAACTGGATGGCTCTATACCGAACAAACAGTCTGTAGTATTGGTTTGCAACAGCTTGCTTTTAATTTCGGGACTTGTCATCGTCCATCAGGTTGATTATCCAGTAGACTAGTGTACGAGTAGATGTTAAGGAAGATTGAACTGCTGTTGGCACCACTGGATGAAGAGCATCTTGAAAAGGACAGCTTCTTCATCTATCTATTAACCTTGGCTCTTTTCCAACTTGTGCTTTCAGAATCAGGGAGATCCTAATTGTGCATAATGTGATGGTTAAACAAAATTAAAGAGCAGAACATAGAATACGTTATCATGTTGAAATATTAATTTACAAATGAAAGATATCAATAAGATCCCCAAGCCACAAAGTGTCACTTGATGTGTTTTCAGATTCATGATTATTAAAAATTAGTGTCGAAACCTCTGGAATTAAAAACAACAAATCTAATCTCTCGAAATAAAAAAGTACCTTTTCCTCAACCTCGTCTCTTAAGAAAGTTGTGACACATTCAAGAAGAATGACTGTTGTAATTAACATCAACAATCAAAGAAAGTTGAAAAGGATAGCAACAAAAAGACCAAAATGCGTTCTTATAACAGAATGAACTTCCGATGCCCCAGCTCAAATTCGAGATACTTTACATGTATTATAATACTTGGAGTCTAAAATTTTTAGAATATTTACAATTCTGCAAAGCATTTTGTTGGACAAATTATGTTTCCTGTGACAACCGAAAGGACACAATCCCGCATTTCATAAATCAGACAAAAAAAAGGTAGGAAGAAATTCATACCTTTTGTACAGACGGGCTTCATAATGGCACGTCTAGTGAGCGGAAGTGACCGATTTGTTCAAGACCAACTCCAGTCAGGCATGCCTTGCCTTTGGGCCTACATAGAACAACAGGGTCAGAACAAGTAGGGGAAAGCAAGAGGAAATAAACCAATTTGAGGAGCAAATTTGCTCCAAAAGGGAAATAAAATTCCACCACCTCAATGGGCCTAAACGTTGATGACCAAAACAAGTTCATACAACCATCCACAGTTCCACACTAAGCAATTATATTCTTATTTTGATAATAACAAATTTTCACACCCGCTTCAGCCCCAATTCATTAGAATCTAACAGGATATGGATTACCTAAGTGCAAATGAAATCCTTTACCCTTCTCTACCAACATTACTTGCTTTTGCGGTTCTGCCTCAACCCTTCACTTGAAAAAAAAAAAGAAAAAGAAAAAAAGAAAAACAGCCGAAGAGTTTTCAGAACCCACAAATCTAATACTAAATCAACTCTAGATCCCCAACTCATTAGAATCTCACAGTATATGGATTACCTAATTGCAAGTGAAATCCTTTAACCTTTTTTGGCAACATTACATGCTTTTGCAGTTTTGCCTCAACCCTTCATTAAGAAAAACAAGCCAAAAAACAACAGCAGAAATGTTTTCACAATTTAGAAATCCAATTTTAAAATCAACTCTTCGTATGAAATAAATAAATAAATAAATAAACCTAAACAGAAACAGGAACTTGGAAAACCAAAAGTTTCCATAATTACCAACGCATCACTTCCGGCAATCCCAATGCAGGTTACAGCTGCTAACCCACAGCAGTTCTCTGTTGAAGTGCTAACAGAAGCAGAGGTCTCTTCAAAGTGTACCCTGTTGAAGATAGCATTTGTTGGTTAATCAACACGAAGTTTTTGGCAAAAGTTAACAAGTCTACCCGAAACTATTATCGAATCCATATTGATGCTATAATTCTGCATAAATATACACCCATATGCACGCGAGCATACAACAAATGTCAGTGTGTCTCAATAGCAAACTAACACACATATAAAGCAAAAGAGAGAGAGAGAGGCTCTTACAAAAATATTAATGTCATCTCTTTAGTGGATTTATTGACAGGTTATTCAGAAGACAAAATATTCCGCCACTGCTTCATTGCCATTCATGACCCAGTTGCCTTGTGGATAAAGAGGAGCTAATCATCACTGGTCAAATTATCGCATATTTCCTACCCAATGTTCTCATTTAAGACCTCAATAAGATAGACTCCATGGCCTTCATTTGATGCGCTGAGAAATGTGGTCTCCTATCGTTAGCCAAACTGACAATAAATCTTGCCTCTTCAAGTTTTCCACTTCTTCTCAATCCTTCAAGTAGATTTTGGATAGTTTCAACACTCGGAAACCAATTTTTTCTCATGCTCTTTACGGCCATTGAATACGCAGAATCATAATCTCCTGCTCTGCAGAGATAATGAATCATTGTCTGATAAATTTTGCAATTAGGTTCAATGGCTCTGTCATATAGACGCGAGTAAACTCTTTTTGCCATATCAACAAATCCAGCACGGAAAAAACCTTTAATCAATAAATTATACGTAACTTCATCAGGAACTAAACCAAGTCGATGCATTTGAAGTACCAACTTATTAGCATCCCAGGCCCGTCCCTTACTTACCATGAAATGTAATCTGGCATTGAATGTAGCAATGTTAGGTAAGCAACCATTGAACACCATGAGATTCCACAACCCATTGCCAATGTGCGGCTCGTTAATCTTGTAATGAGCTGCTATAAGTGTTGTATACGTAACAACGTCAGGTCTTATTCCCGACTTTTCAGCCCCTAACATAATCAAATGTACCTTGTCCAATATTCCTAATTCGCATATAGCCTTGATCATGATATTAATAGAATATATATCAACTTTAATGCCACATTCTATAGCCTCCCGGAAAAATGACTCAATTGCCTCCAGATCACGGGAGGCAGCCAAAACCTTGAGCGCAGCATTAAATGACTTCACGGTTTGAGGGCAGCCGTATAGTGCCATGTCATGAAATGTATTGACAGCCTGCTTAATCATCCCAGCCTTCCCATACAGCATGATAATCCGAATAACAAAACCTTCACGGCGACCCTGCGGCAAAGTCTTCTGATGTTCAAGTAAGTTTTCGATATAATCAAATCGACCAGCACCGGCTAATCTAGAAACAGTATCCTCAAATGCGAACCGATTTTCGATGACTAGTTTGTTGTGAGCATTAGCCTTGAATAAATAAAACAACTTTTCAGGGTCTCTCTCCTTCTTTAGCTTAAAGAGGGCTGGTTCATCTAACTCCAAATGTTTGTTAACACCATCTGGAGGAACTAATGTCTTACCAACAGAACTACCAGTATTGCAGGATGCGATTGCAGCCGCCGCAATGTTATGAGTAGCAGTGCCTAATCTGCGAACCAGGCGCAGAGATAGCATGTTCTAAAGGCACTCTCTCAATTCCAAACATGCCCACCGATTAAAATCACAACTTCAACAAATTTCCTAATAATACAATCAGTGCCCATCAAACAACAAGAACCCAATCCAACAATTATTAGACCTCAGACGTGAAACAAATCCCCAATCATTAAATCAAACAAATCAATGAATCCCCGTGTAAATGTGTAAATTTCGGCAAAAACTAAAGAGCGCCCACCAAAAATCAACAAATTAGAGAAACCCTTCTGGGATTTCCAACCTCCGTTTCTACCTGATATGTAAAGAAACACTTCTACGCGTGAATGCAATAATCTCAGAGCATTACAAGCATAGATATTGTTGCAGTGGAAGGAAAGAAAAAAAACTCAGATAACAATCCTGGGAGTAAATGTAGAAGTTTACCAAATCGGAGGACATTGATCCGTGAAGGGTTTTTGGATGCGTTTCAGTTTGCCATAGAGGCTAATTTTGAGGTACGTCTTCAACCCACGAAGCAGCTGGGTTGGTGGTGGAGCTGCGGGCGCTAGGTTTTGGAATGGGGGGTTTTGAGTTTTTTGGGTCGGCGCAAAGTAGAAGAAATTGTTTTGCTTACGTGGATCCTATTGTTTGGATCTTGCTTACGTGGAATAGTTTTCTTTTCTTTTCTTTTTTTGGAAAAATAAAAAATAAAATTTTTTTGCCTTCCTTTATTTCTTAAAAGAATTTTCTGATGATTTTCTGCAAATTGTTGATGTGTGTTGGATCTATTAACACGTCTTGCTCGTTGATTTCACAAAGGTTATCACATATGATGAAAAGCTAAAATTGGCATTTTAGATCCTAATATAAAAAGAGGAGACACACAGGATTATAGAATTTGAGCTAATAATACTCCATTCCGTCTTAATAATCCATAATATTGAAGAACTTTTAACGCAAATACTTATTCCGGTATAGTAGGAGAATATAACATTATATGGATATTAGAGATTATAGTAGGAGATTTTTCTTTTTCGGCAATTACCTAACTATTAGGTTTTGCCTCCTTTCATTGTACCAAAGAAACTACCACTTAGCTTGTTGAAGTAACAATTTGACACATTTCGCGAACCTCATATATGGAAAACAACAAAAGGAGGGAGATCAAAGAAAGAGTTAACTCAGGCTCTAAGCCTTAAACTAACAATAATAAGATGAATCCAATAGTCTCTTTTTACTGCATTTGATTTGTTCATGAGCCACGATCATCTTCTTTGCTAGATAGGTACAACGGAGTGGACACATTATTCTTTTCTTAATCAAAGAAAAGAAAAGAAAAAAGATAATACCCACTGTAAGAATGATATCTATTTGTACTTCTACTGCTTGTGAGTGAATGCAGCTCAAACAAGTCTGCTTTACATAAATGAAAGGGATATTGGTTATCAAATTTTGCCCCAACGCGTCCGCTTTTCTTCAGTCTTTTGATACAATGATCACCATTAACCCTACTGCACCTATGATAGCATACTGCATCAATTCAAAAGTAGCAGTTTAGGATTGAGTATTGACTTCCAAGTGTCCTTTGCAAATGATTAGCACTTGACACAGAAACATTTATCATTATATAAGCAATGGGAGTTAAAAGTTGAAATCACACCTTGACAATTGGCTGTTCTGTCAGAATAATGGTCATCCAACCAATGTATCTTAAGACCCTGCAAATGATATGCACATTCATCGGTCACTTTTACTGGAAAATACACACATATAGCATAAAAAACAGAATGAAACTGCACATACTTCTCCATATGTTCATTTTTATATTAAGTGAATTGAATATGATATGCAGGGTGCAAGATGTAGTCCCTGCCAACCTTATAATTGCAGCCCAGCCATGTTTTATTTTAGAAGAAAAGACCCGGCAGTTGTCATTTGCATCTTTGTCATTAATATACGCTTGTCTTTAGAGCAGATCTATGGGGTCTGATGATTTGAAGCATATTACTCATGGTTACATCTATAGACTAAACTACACTGGTTGAAAAGAACAAAGTCAACAGAAGTGAGTCTCAGATGTAGATGTTTACCCCACAGCTCTTCCCATGATATGGCGTTGCTCAAGCCAATCTTGCCCAGGAGCATACAAGGCTATGTCATTCATCTTATTATTATCACCTGTAAAAGGAAACAAGGCCAACTGTATTTCAAACTAGGGACCAATGTGAGCAGAAAACATGATGTCACCATTCATTGCATGAGATTGTGATGCATAAAAGAGGCAAAGATAATAAGGAAGAACTTGTGAAAGTTCATGTTTCTCTATTATGTATGCCAATAATTCTATCAGTGGCTAAGTAAAACTTAGTTAATCCCATGAATAGTCCACCAAAATCAGTAAGGTACCTTTTGTCAAGAAGAACACTTCTTTTGTATCTTTCCGTTCATGAACCTACAACAGCAAGTGTGATGAAGAATCAGAAAACAAAAACCCATGTAGAATCAGAAAGGAAATATGAGTCGTTCCTTTTGTCAGTAATATACGATATCTGCAATACTCTAGTTTCTTTTGAGGTTACTATGTGAAGCTGAAGGAAGTAAAGAGCTGGGTAGAATCTTGAACATTCCAATGAGTATTGTATTGTCAATCAACAAGGGACAAGATATTTGCAGAATTCTAACAAGTTAAAATTTAGTTAAAGTTTCTGAAACTACAGTTACAGCATGTACTTTTTAAACTTAGAAACTATTTTCACCCTTCTAGACTCAAACAAAAGATCACAGAACTTTTCTATCCAGCTACCAAACAGCTCCTCTTCAAAATGCTGACTTTTTGTGGGAACATACTAGCAATTCAGTTACCTTGATTACACGATGCACAATTGGAACTGGCCGATCCTGCCAAAAAGAGCAATGAGTAAACATTGAATCATGAAAAGATTAAGGACAGATGACAGAGAAGAGGAGTAAGACAGCTTGATGCTCTAGGCAGAAATATGTTAGTTATCAACGTACAGGTGCTTATATTTGGCTGCTATACCATAATAAATGTGACAATTGATCAACGTCTCATCCTTGTTGAGAAAATGTAATCAATCAAGACTAGTAAATGAGAAGAATAAACCTTACATCAATTTTAAACACAACGATCTCTCCAGCTCTGACAGGCTTTTCGGTCATGTGCAAGAACAAAATGTCTCCCTGATTATATTGAACGAGCAAAAGACTATCACAGTTAACATGTCCTGCTATTCAAATTTACTTTTTCAAATAAAATCTTCAAAATGCAGATTTCATTACAGTACAATACATGTAAGAAGATTGAAAGTAAGGCAAAAAGGATGGGCTCCTAAGATTTACGATGATGTACAGTGCAGAAATCAGAAAAAATTTTCTTCAAACAACACAGCAAAAGCAAAATTTACATCTGCAATTGAAGAAACCGTAAGAATTTCTATACGTCAACTTCGCATATCAAAGAGGATGACAATCATAAAGGAGCTCTTCACTTAAAGCTGTTGTTCTAGGCTAGTCAGTTCATTCTGGTCAAAACCAAGAGTTCTCAGAAGAGTTCTAAGAGATTGTTTACCCTTTTAAAACCAGGTTCCATGCTTCCGGAAACAACCACCACCATAGGAGATTCAGTACCAGTTATGACCATGAGAGTCTTCCATAATATAAGCGCAGTACTAACTAACACACCTGAAACCAAAAGGAAGCAGTACATATAAATCATTACCATCACTAATAATCAAGAAATTTCTCATCAAAAAAGATCTCTTTTTGTAAAATAAATTTACGCATTCCCATTCATTTTAGCATTGTAACTTGTGAGAGAAAGATCACAGTACAATTGATAAAAAAGAAAGACAGAGAACCAACCAATGCTGATAGCTTCATTGAGGGCCTTCCTAATTCGAATAGATTTCAATGATTCTACTGAACTTCCAATCCACCCCATCAAATCCATCCCTTCTTCAACTTGGTAGTCAGTGCCCAAATTCTGTTTCTAATTTTGAAGTTTGGACCTTGTTTGACCGAGCCCACCAGATATATAATGGCTCAATCAGGGAAAAACAAGACAACCCACTGGATCGGAGAAAAGAAAGCTTAAATGAAACACGAGAGAAGAAAAAGAATGCCATCTTTGGTCAGGTAAGACCGATGATGAAGCCGATGGACAAACTAACTGAAATTATCAGTAATTTACCAATTTTAAGGTTGTATGACAGATTCACTGAATTCTGATTGGTGGGATGACATGGAATTGAGGCGTTCAGGTTTCCACGTGGCGCCTGATTAGAAATTTCAACAGAGCTTTTCGACAACCAAGTAAAATGCAGAAAAATGGGCCTATTAAAAATAAGAACAGTCTAGTTAAAAGATTCACCTCAAGTAAAAAGCAGTCGACTGATGGCGCTCATCGGACCAGCAGGGTCTGCCGGATTGGGCTTGTCAGTGTCGCCACCGGCGCATGTAGGATTCCGGCGTCACACGATTCCGACCACTTACGCAACCTTATCAAGCCAAACTCCGACGACCGGTGAAAAAGAGGTGGATTGGGTGGAGGCAACTTCAAGTTTCTTCCAAAATGATTCTCGACCCATCATGTTATTTGACGGTATCTATATCTCAATTTGGGTATTTTAAACGTTTAGGTGTACTGTATATCTCAATTGTCATGCTTAGATTAGTATGTGGAAATTTCATGTAAATCAAAGACAAAGGGACAATTTTTAGGTTTGCATCAGAAATCAAGGGCGAAAGTGAATTTTGTTCGTCTGTGGTATAATTAACTAATAAGTTGAATAAAAAAGCTGTAGCGACAAGGTGGGCTGAACTGAACTGAACACGGGTTCTTGCTTTGTTTGATAGGTGTTTGCAACTTGTGCAATGGAGGTGTGAAATTTGTTCGTGACAATGATAGAAGAAGGTTTAAAACTTCCTCCATTTCATTGTTTTAGGATTGTTTATTGGCTTCAAGTTCTGAGGTTTAACTTTTAACAAAGTAGTGATTCGGCATTTCTACAGCTTTCTGAATCCCAATCGATAGACTAAGAAATTTTGATGGCAAAGACACTGGAATAACTAGTCTTATCTAATCAATGATATCATCTTAAGCAGAGGCAATGAACAGAGTAAAATTGTCCAGTCATTTAAGGTGGACTGGATATCTCACTGCTTCTTTTATCAGTAAAAGTTGCTGGAAATAAATATATCGAATGAAATAAAAACTGGATATCTCACTGCTTCTTTTATCAGTAAAAGTTGCTGGAAATAAATATATCGAATGAAATAAAAACTGGATATCTCACTGCTTCTTTTATCAGTAAAAGTTGCTGGAAATAAATATATCGAATGAAATAAAAACTGGATATCTCACATCAGGAAAGATAGAGTTGAGATTTACTAGTTGTCAGTCTGTAGCTTGATTAGCTTAGCAGCCTGGAGGGTTGGCTATTTTGGTATCTTGAGTTAGGAACTAGAAGATGACAATCATCATAAAGTACCGAAGTTACACTTCTGTAGTTCTGTTTACTGATTGATTATACATGATGAAACCGATGATGAACTCCAGGAGGATGAGATTTGAAGCCCTACAAAGTGATGCAGGCAAGAAATTGCTAAGAAGATCTGGAAGAGCTCCTGATGACATTTCAAGTGTTGTGTTGGTTGAGAAAGAAAGGTGAGATGTACCAAATACTTACCTAAACTCTGTGGTGTGATTTGTGTTTATATTCAAATCTGGCTTCAGTTCAAAACCTTCAAATTTGTCTTTCACAATTTAGTGTGCTTTTCCCAAGTTTTGTTCAGTGGCTTTTCACAACAAGTACACTGCAGATATGGTTACTGAAGAAGAGAGAATCATAACTCATAAACTGTTGGAATCTTCTCGAACAAAATTTTCTTGAAAAACCCATGAAATCCCCAAACTTTGCCCTTATAGCGGCTAGGTTGTCCCTTGAAGAATATTTATACTACTTGACTATTTTGGTTTCAGGTCCTACATCAAGTCAGAAGCTGTGCTCAAGATCATGGAATACATAGACTTGCCCTATCCTCAAATGGCATTTCTTTTGCAGTTTGTTCCGGTGTAAGTTACAGTTTTCCCATTAGTTTTTTTTTTTTTTTTGTCATGAACACAGTGGAAAACTGTGCGTGAATCAAAACTCATGGTTCTTAATCTTGGATGTGGTTATCGCAGCTTCATAAGGGATTTCTTCTATGACAACGTTGCGAATAATCGTTATGCATTCTTCGGTCGCTCAGAATCATGCGAATTGGAGTAATGTCTTGTGAGATTTACACATCCTCCCTTGAAGGCTGTACAGTGTAAAATGTCGCCTGTTTGAAGACCTTAGATATGTAGTCTATCCTCAGTGTGTGTAAAGTACTGTAAATCTATTTACTTGTTAAACATTAGAGCAATCTGGAAACACATTACATAGTTGAGAAATCTATGATTTACCAATCACAATCAGCATAGTTACAGGCCAACAAAAACGTGCGAAAAAAGCTTTAAAGTTTCGTCCACCAGACAATCTTATTAATCCAGAAAAAAAGAAGCAGAAAACAACAGCACTACAAACAAAGTCATCAGTATCATCACATCTGGCTATAAAGCTCAACACCATTCTATCATTTACAGCAGAATAGCACAGGTGAAAACTTTTCTCTTCTTTTGCTGACTGAGGTCTCATCATCACTACATTGCAGATTTAGCAGCAGAAGAATAGCGGGAGCAGTAGTTAAAGCCAAACCAAGTATCTCTGGGGATATAATCATCGTAATGGAAGGTCACTGGCCTTGTGTTAGAACCATAAATGGTGACATCATAAGGTCTCCACCCATCACGTCCACTCCTGTACAGATAGAGATAGCATATCTGGTACGTGCAAGGACCGTAAACCTGGAACGTGTCTGTTGAACAACTCTCGAATGTTCTCGACCTCGGATCATCTAATCTCGGTGCATAAACCTAATTAAACCCAAATTCAAAAGGGTTGTCGGAATATTTCCCAATTATAAAGGGAAAACAAGATTGAATAAATAATTTGATTAAACAAAAAAAAATTACCAAACCCACCTGATTGCCATAGGCATCGCCGAAAGCGATACTGATACGATCCCGTGTATAGCGGACAGATTGGCAGCTTGTCCTAACAGAAATTGTAAAAGCACAGCTTCCCTGATTCTGCTAGCCCAAATAAGAAAAAGCAAAAATTACTATAAAATTTCAAAAGCCCAGAAATTATTAATTCACCAAAAAAAAAAAAAAAATTGCATTCGGATGTAATTAATACATACCACCGCCGGCTGGGTTGTGTTGACCTTGAAGGATGGAAGAGGCTTAGACGGCCGGATTCGGGTTCTAATTACAGATGGGATTTCATCTGCGGTGGTGGCGGTGAGGACGCAGAGGATCACAAAAACAACTGCTCTCATCATTGTCATCTTCTTCGTGAGCATTGCACGACTGAGATTCCTCAGCGTTTTGAGTTTTTTTGTCTCGTTAAATAAAAGAAGAAAGAAAAGAACCAAAAACGAAGAAAAACGTGGTGGCTCTGTTTCTTAGTTCAGAAGGCTTGGACTTTGAAGGACAAGTGAATGATTTTTTTTTCTTAGTTCGAAGGCTTAGACTTTGAATGATTTTTCTTAGTTCTGTGTTTATTTATGAGCAAAGAAGAAGGATTGGGAATTTGGGATACGATGATGATGTGACGACCTTAACAAAGAAAGGAGGAGACCGGTTGAAATTCGTCTTCTTTTCCCATAATAATGAATTTTAAAAATAATTGTGAAAGGTTAAAAATAAAACAGACATGGGTTTAGGTAGAACATGCGGTTTGGGTACTAGACTTTTGGGGACAAACCCTGTAAAGTGTAATAAACCGCTCAAAATAATGAAATATTTTTTTTTATCATAGGTTTAATTGCAATTGTTTGTTTCAGCGGTTTTTTCTTTGTACATTTTGAAAGATTGTTATTATTCAATTATAACAATGGTTTTAGTAGATAGTGCATCGTTAACTTAAACCATTCTTATTCATTGTGCATTGTTACTAGTTTTTTTTTTTCATTAATTTCCGATTATGTGACACCCCCCTTGGTGTATGGTTGATAGGTTTTGACTTTTCACTGCTTAAGGGTAAACAGTAAATACATAGGAATCAACAAAATGTGAACATACTAGTCTAAGACTGGCTGATAAGAAGAGAAACATACTGCATTGCGACCACGCAAGTCCAATAACATGTTACACGTGCTCTACTACCTACCACTCTTTACCTTTGTGGGTTGGGTTAGCGGAACTGTTACAGCTCAGTTTCATTATATTCGTAATGGACTAGCCCAGGGGCCAGGGGTACATAATCCGTCCCAAAGTTCAAGTCCAGCTAGTTACATTTGCAACCTAATTAAGATGTTTTGAGTTCAAAAAACATCCACCATTGTGGTTCATAAATTCAAGTATTCAACTGTATAATACAGAACATTTCACCAACTTTACAAGTTCATATCATGATGATAAAGAATACCAAAAGAAACTCCCTCCACACCATTCCATCAGGACTATCAAATGATGCATTCTTCCTGCCCTACATGCCTATTCAAACTCGAACTACTAGAAACTCTGCATATCAATACAGTACAGCCTTAAAAGGAAAAGGACAACGTAAAACAGCAACCAGTAAAATTAGGGTTCCATGGCCGATGGGGTATAACAATCAGATCAAACTAAGACATACTAGTCACATGTGAGCAGGAAGTCTACAGGGACGGATATGAGATGATACCATTACGTTCAAAATGCAGCTTAGAGTATCTCTTCTTCAATTAGATTGCACAATTATAGGATCCGCACTCAGAAATCGGTAGGCGGTTTCAACCTTATAAGTCTCTTTATTCTATCTTTGTCTGTGTTCTCTAGCAATCCCTACAAAACAGGAGAGCAACAGTAATGTAGTAAGCCTCATGGCATGCTCGTATGGAGGATGAGTCAGGCAAAGAACTAAGCATAAATAGAGGTACACTGATTCAGCACAAGTGAAGCCATAACACATACTAAAAAGTGACTTCAGAAACTCCAGTTTTTGGCTCTTGTTTTGGTACACAAAAGTAAACAAAAAGATGACGCTCAAACACAAGATTAATGCACGGAAAACATACACGAATAATTTGAGTTGTAAAAATCAATTGCACAGAACTGATAATTGGCAGAACAACAAAATAAATTGCAGCAATTGAACAATTGTAAAACAGAAGAAGGATGCCAAGTTGATAAGATGGATGGAGTGTACATTCAACCGTTTCCTGTTGAAGAACAAAGAAATTGGCCTTGAGTTTTGGAAATTTTACCTTCCATACAATTTCATCCAGGCACAAGCAAATCTTCCCATACTTGTCAAGGAAAAGGCGCTCAGTGGGTATTTTTCCACAGACATCCTTCACAGCAGATGTTATCACAAAGATTGCTTCTGACACTTGGGAAAGAATGCAGAAAATTAGGTTATGCTATAGACAATAATAATGATAAGGATTAAATACAACCAAACCCAAGCTTGCGTAAATAGCCATATCGAACTAGCTCAGGTACATCAACCCAAGGACCATAGCCAGTATTAATGCTGGAGGTATTGGAGTCTGACTAAATTGATGCAACCAACATACTGGAAACTTTTCAACATTTTCTTACAGCCAAATGATTTTAAAAACAAATGGACAGACTCAGATAACAAAAAATGTCCTCGACACAATACCAATTGATTCTTTGTTATGCCACATGAGATACATAGAAATGCATGATGCAGCCAGTGTTAAACACTGACTTCAATTCAAGATTTCCCAAACAGAACTCAAAATTATAGCTCTTGATGAATAAAAAAATATTCTTACATGCAAGTTCATCATAATCGTCCTTGCCAACGACAAAAATGCTGACATCACCCAGTACAGTGTACACAATATACACTGATCTGCACAAGAAAATGAGCAGATTAAATTGTGTTGAAGTGAAGAGGGAAAATATACAGCAGAAATAAAATAGAAACAATTCCTAGCTGATTATTGAAATTCAGAATAACCATGAGTTACATGCCTAAAACTAGTACACACAAAATTTCTTTGTTCAGTGATCACCGACATTCCCGAATTCCATCAATAAGAAACCATCAAAGTTTTATATAATCTTGTTCCAAAGAAGATAAACAAGGGAGAATATGACACTCCATCCAATCTTATTCTATTTCACTACTTGAAGTATTGCTCATGCAGTAGTGTTAAGCTCTGTAACAGCAGTTCTAGTAGCCAGATCAAAGCCCAATTTTTTTTTATTCGATCTAAATGCTGACTAATGTCGCTGAAATTCTAAGAATAAAGGATTACTTACTTGTGGGACGCGACAAGAAGCTCTTCATTTTTCACACCCTTAAGATTATCTGCTCCAAGCTTCACTAGAAAGGATCGCCAATGTAAACGCTCCTCTGCTGGGACTCCATTGAAACTAAATCACATGAAAGGATCCTAATCAATGATTTGAAGACAAAACAAGAGACTACAATAACATCAACCCTAATCCGGAAGTAAGAAGCCATATCCTCTTCTAAGTCAAGAACCCCAATATGTTTTGCTACCAGCAGTGCAAAAATTAAAGTTTCATATGAAAATAAAACGCATCATCCATAAGGAAGATCCCCCTTAGATATCAAAAATTCACTAAATTTTTGTTAAGATTCTAGCATTTTAAGCGATACGGCAAAATTAAACTTTCTATAGATCAATAACAGTGACTTTCTATCCTCTCATAGGCCATGAACATAGATTTACAGTTTTAGCTGAGTTTTCAGCACAAGACACGCTCTAAGGAAACACATCAATCAATTTAAGCACCAATATTCACTGGCAAACGGAATCAAAGGAGAAAAAAGAAAAAGAAAAGCAGTATTATCTGGAATCTAAGTCTTAGGATGTACAATTCGAAACAGTTCGAATAATAGTATAATTTGTGATAAGAAAAAACCACTAAGATGGTAATAGGACGGGGTTATGGTTTACCGTTCAACGAGGATGTTGCCCTCGGAGTTGGCGATCAAGACAGCGAGCAACATGTTCGACGATTGGGAATCTATCAACGGCGTCGGAGCCGAGATGCTGAGTTGAAATTACGAAAAAGCGTGGGCCGACGAATTTACACTTACGAGTCCTCCCCCTAAAATCCTTGAAATTGCAAAATAGGTGTATGTTAATTTCAATTTCTAAATTTTCACCCTTAGCCGTATTTATTTATTTTATTTTTTTTTGGTCGAAATAGCCGTATTTAATTCGATCATCTCTATAGTTTTTTGGGGGTTTTTCTTGTGGATAAAATAGGTTTCCGTTTGTAATTATGTCTAGTCTTTCCCATTTCTAATTTAAGTACTTCCATTCACAATTTAGTGAAGAAATGAGTCAACTCATGATTCAAGAAAAACCGTTTCACCGTGAAGAATAATTAAAAATATTTTTAAAAATACCGCTACACTCACAATGGATCGAGATTATATGATCACTAGTCGATATTATATATTTTTTCAATTGAAAAAAAAACTTTAACAGTATTTCTTAATAATTACGAGAACATAATGAACGTAAAAAAAAATATAAATTAAGGTTTTTTTCAATAAAAAAACATATTATCTATAGTACTTAATTAAAGCAGCAAACAAAAAGGATATCTGTCAGTACCACAATGAAAATTTTCCCGCCAAAAGTCATTTTCAGTACAAAATTATTTTTGACACGTGGCACTCTAACTAATCAGAAAAAAAGAAGATGGAATAGATAAATATACATAAATCCCTTAATTATAGCAATATAAAAATCTCTTAATTATAGGTATATACTAATCCCTTAAAACAACAATATTTAGTGGATAAATTAAAATGTAAGAAAATTTCCTTAAATTAAGTGAAACACCAATAATGTCTTTCCAATCCCTAATTTTAAAGGATCTCTTTCATTCCGCTCCTCTCTCACACCCGGGCCTTTAAATCAATTACTTAAAATCTGATATCAATTATCAATCCATCTCTTTCTACAACAGAGAAAAAATAAGCTGTCATGAAAGAAATTTGATTTTTTAAGGATGATTTTTTTTATTCTTCTGTTATAGACATTGGTTTATGATTTATGTAAACCCAGGCATAATTTAATTGTTATAAATTAAATGTTGTAAATCTGGGCATAGATTTGTGTGTAATAACACACTTCCTGTCCTTTTAATCAATTTTTTATTCTTCTATTTTTTTTTTAAGAATGATTCGTATTTTTTATTTAATTAATTAAAAAATACAGGCGGCCCTTAAGCATTCGCCCGGGACAAGCATCTAGTGTAAAACTTATAGGACAAATTCTTATAATAAGGACCCAAGGGAGTATCTATTGAGCAGTGGAAAAAGAAGAATCTTTAAAGTTCATTTCCAAAATCAAGTTGTCTTATTTACTTTGAAGTTTTCAGTTCCATTTTGGGCTTATCTAAGTTACATCAATTTTATGTTTTTTAATCCTACCAATTAATAAATTGTGTCAGATTAGCACCTATAGTTTCAATTTCAAACAATTAAATATTCAAATATTCTTTTTTTTTTGGGTAGAACAAATATTCTTAACGTTTTGATTATCCTACTTGCAATATTAGGATATAAAGATATGAATGAATTAATAATACATATAAGAAAAAATTACAAGAAAAATATCATCACATCAATCAATGCTGAGAGTGTGCAATGTCTCCATTTTGCATAACTACTAGCGACATTATAACTTTTTAATAGTAGAAAATTTTATAAAGAGCAAATTTCTGGGCTTGCTTTTACTAATTTTAATATGTTTTGTTGAATTTGTGAATCCCACTTTGTAGATTTTCAGAGCCTTTGATATTATTAGGGTTCACCGTATCAACTAACACATTTTCCATTGTATTTTTTTAATCAAGAATAAGATATTTACTGTGTTCAAAAAAGTGATGATCATACACATCTCCACAAATTCATCATTTTCTATAACTAATTAAATAACTAGAGGGAAGTAAACCAAACAAGATTAGCAACTCTTAAAAAAAAAAGCATCTAACACAAACAAAATGATGATAAGATAATAAAGTAAACTCTTAATTTATACTAAAAATAAAAATCTGAACGGGATATCATTTTAGGACGAAGGATTAGTACAATATTAATAGAGAATTAATCATTAAAAACTCAAAACCGTGCAAAAATAATGAACAATCTTCAATTTGATTGTACGTTCCCGAAATTAAACCTCAAAGGCCCCATGTATAAATGCGCATTAGGGACAATGTTGAATGAGATTCACATCAAACCCCAACAATGATAGATAAAGGTACCAAACTCTTGTTGGTGATTCAATTTCCCATAAAATTATCAAACAACGACACATTCTTTTCAAACCTAACTACTGCGATTAACCTCTTACAAACCCTATATTTTAAGTGCTAAAGCCTCGTATTAATCAAAATAACAGTTGTGATTTTCCTACAAATAATTGTTGGTCATTCGGGGTTTATACATACTATAGTTTTTTGTTTTCGTTCCTCATGCTCAAACCTACTCCTAAGGCCAGTCCCACACCAAGTCGGTTTAGACATTATGACCCTGATCTCTTTGCATAATACCATCACAAACTGAGAGTTGTTTTATTAATCTATGCCACATGCGTTTGATGCTCCTCTTAAGGAAAAATTCAAAATTAAAGGGGCATAAAATGAAAGCTTTGAAAGGTCCAGTTATGCATATAACACGAACCACTATCATAGGCACGAATTAAGTGATTCTTTGCCCTACAGACAACTTATAATGACGTTGTGGGTGCATTAATATTTCAATAACGACTTTCTCCTTTTAGATTACGACTTGTTTTTTCAGGGCCCGGGCCAAGGCCATGAAGTTTGATAAAACAAAACTTCGATCAACTTTCTTCGTAGTTAATTTGTTTTTTTTTTTTTTAATTTTTGAAATATATTCTTCTCTCCTTCTCTGAGTTCTCTCAAAAAACCATGTTTTGATTTTATTAACGAAATTATTTTTTTTTATTATCCATATCTAAAAAAAATAGTTTACATTGTATTAAAATCAGTATAAATCTCAAAATTCTAAGTAAACGATAGTAATTTTTTTTTTTTCCAACGGAGCTACCGAGTATCTATGAAGTTTGGCAAACATGTCGAACGTACGTACTGGTTTTGCAAACTATATACAATTATACACAATACGGAAAATTAATTGTCCACTTCACTCCATACACTTAATCGAGTGACATCACATGAAAATGATTAAATGATCCAAGTTTAGACAACAATAAACATCCAAAAATAAGAAATGAATTAAATCAAGAAGAGTTGTTAGTCATTACTTAATTAAGGTTTAAGTCTGCATCCTCGACATTGATCTTAGTTCTTATGAGGAAGCATGTACTTATAACTGCAATGTAGATTGAGGGTCTCGAAATTTTCAGACATCTTTGAACAATGAAATGACCAATTTTCTGCCATAATGCATTCAAACATCAACGGACCACGAACATATATTTTATGCAAAAATCAACATCCAATGAATTAGTCCCTTGATTCAAAAAAACGTGGTAAATTGGCAATTTGCAAACTCGATCGGAAGTTTCATTAATTATGTAGTTTTTTTTTTCGGTTCATACCAACTTTTTGCGACTATTAATTAAATAAATCCGATCAATCTATATATTGATTGTACCAATATTTGTTGATCCCAAATCCAGCATATATATGCATGTAAACAATGGCCAAATTAAGTAAGAGACGTAAGTGACCATCAAATCAAACTACATCATTTTCAGACATTAATCAACATTTATCCAAACTTTTTTATTCGTAATGATTGGATTGATTCTAATCCCTAAAGGCAAACATATATATATTGATGTGTGTTGGGATTTTGATAGTTTAGACTTTAGAAGTTAAATGAGGACTTGTCTTTATCATTTACCTAGAGATATAAATATAATAGCTATTATAAGCCAAATTAATGATAAAAAAGGATTGCAGATCGGTGGATTATAAATTTTGCATAAATTAAAGAAGTGCGATTTGGCGCGTATATCAGTTTATAGTATCTTTCTCGTTCCTAACATGGACACATCAATTAACAAATAACCACGATTTTCATTTTTATTTTTTTTTTAGAAAAACCACAAAGAATCTTTAAAAAAAAAATACAGTACTGCTTGTCTGCTACAACGGAGAGAATAACGTGGCATTTACTACGTATAATTCTCATGTAGTAAGATTTAAGATAATGATAATTATATTCTGGACCAGTGCATTCGCACGAGTATATAGTATATTAATATATTTTTATTTCTATATAAAACTTTAAATAGAGCAAATGAGCAAAGATGAAAGTATAACATATATTATATTGTTTTGTCAAATTTGGGAACTTTATTAGAAGTTAGAAAGTCTTGTTTATCTTTTCCCAACCATAAATATGTGCACAGTTGAAGTTGCATCCATCATAAGCCTTGAGTACCATACAGAAGTAGATTGAAATGGCTAGCAAAGAAAAAAAAGTGAATAGTTACTTTTGAGTTGAGCAGACAAAGGAAACTAAATAAAATATATATATATATATATATAAAAAGTAAACAAATAAACCACCAATCCATATCAGCAAAAGATGCACTAATACAGAAACAAAAAAAAAATCTTTACAACAAAACTCATTACTTTTTAAACAATTTAATGATGATGAACAAGCTTCAGTAAAAATAAATTAATACATAAAAAATTATGCATATTTATTGCGGAGGCCTAAGGGAGTATCATATGCATTTTGCTCTTAGTCCTATGTTAATAACATTAATCAATTGGGATCAACTTTGACAATATCACTTCCTTGTAGAAATTACTTTACTTCTACTCTTCATTCTTGTATTGTTATCTTTAACGTAAAATAAAAAAGAGCGCCGTCTTAAATCACAAAAAAAAAAAAAGCAGAACTCACTGGGTTCATACTCAAGCATTATCAACTCCTAAAGAACAAAGTAAACCAAAACGCAATCATACCATTCATTCTGTTAGTTTCTCGGTTGCCATAAGTAACTCAAAAAATGGTCTTTTTACCTAATTTTTTAAGAAGCAGCCAATTCTTTCTTGTAATGATTTCATTGGGAAAAAAAATTGCATCGATCAAATTCTGTAATAACAAAAAGCACCTGAATTAGTTAAATAATAATTGATGTTGTCTCCAGTGAAGTCCAGTCGGCACCCTCGAACTACACTTTCGGCTAACATTGAAATCTGCCTTGGCCATCGATTTGATGGTGCGAGAAAACTCTTGTCCTGAATCTCTAGTGATATTGATAGTCGCTATTGCGATCGAACTTCAAGAGTGATGATATCAACGGTAACAATTTATACAAAGATATGTTGAATTTTACAGGAGAAGAAGAAGGATATTATATCAATCTAATTACATGATAGGGAGAAAATCTTTTTTTCGGAATGAATTGGACGATCCTTTATGAATTCAGAATTTGATATTCACCGTGGAGAAACAGAGGACGTGCAATTATTTGAAACGTGGAATGGTAATTGGAAAGCCTTTCATGAATGAAATTGCAGGTAGATATAAAATTTAATGCTATTTTTTAGAAGAAAAATATTTGATAAAGAACGTGATAACTGTTTGGAAGTCTGTTTTCTGAAGAATCCCGATTTGGTTGGAATTTAGAAGTCATGGATGCATTTGAACTGTTTTGGTTTTTCAGTTTATTTTCTTTTTTTTGATAAATAAATTAAATGAGTATCATATGAGTTTCGGTTTTTCAGTTTATTTTTTTCTTTGATAAATAAATTAAAAGGACATCTTTTGGATTTCGGTTTTTCGGTATATTTTTTTTCTTTGATAAATAAATTAAATGGGCATCTTTTGGGTTTTGAGTGAGAAAACTTTTAAGAAAGAGTGTGATATTTGGAATTTTAAGCAAAACATAGGTTTTGGTTTTTTACTATAATGAGGTTATACATAAATTGTGGTAATTAATATGCTCAGCTCAGCTACTAAATTTAAGATGCACAAGTTTTTTAAATCCTTCTACGAATTATGTCCAAAAATTTGTTAGGACCATTTGATCTATTGACTTCTTGGTTATGCAATTCTCTTTTTGTTTTAAGTTTTAGCCTTAGTTGTTTAGATTTTTTTTTTATTATTTTTTTTCATTGAAATAGAATTGCGAGTAATAACTACGTACGGACAGCTTTGTTTGTTTTGTTTTTGACACTAAAACTACAACATCGAGCGTACACACACATACTATATTTGCTTAGTTGTTTTGCGTACAAGTTATTGCAGGTAAAGATAATATTCTCCCTCCATTTCGTATCCACACCAACAGTTTCCCTTCATTTGGACTTCAAAGTGACACCACACATTTGAGTTGAAGAATACTACATTTGAGTTGAAGTTAATGCTCTGGAATACTCATTTCAATTTTTTATCCTAATACATCGATCTGTCTCGAAATAATTATTCAATTTGAATTTCAATTATACTCCTTTCAGGACATGGAGATTCATGATAAAGGACATACTTCATTATATAGAATTTTTTTTCTTTTTTGCAATTCTGAAACTTGAGAAATGTAACGTTGTAATACTTGAAGCATATATTCTATTTACCATTCGCATTTAACAACTGAAAGTTTTACTTCAGTCACCTATAGGACAATGATAGGATTAATGGTTTTTTTTTCCCAATAAAGATGGGATCGATGTGATGTCAATACTGCACACGAATGTAATCCGTTTTTATGAGTTATTTTCAATTCAGGCTCTATTGTATTATCCTCAAAATCATCTGGTTATTTTAATGGTCATGATCACAAGTATGTGTTATTTTTCATGTTCAATTATAAGCTCATGTTAAGTCACAAGTGGTCACAACGCGAGGAAAATTGATACTCCCTCTATTCCATAATTATTGTCCAGTTTGGGTTTTCATTTTTAATTCAAATTGTATTAAAAGTGAAATCTCAAACTGGAAAATTCCGGTTATTTGTTCTAAAGCCAACTTATAAATCATAAAAAAATAAATAATAAAGCAATGATGTATTTGATTGATATTATTAAGAAAATGCTCATAAGGAATGATCATCTATTAAAACATCACTATTTTTTATAGTTACATCATAAATTATTAGTTACTGGATTTAATCAAGTTTATCCCCCTCTATTCTAAAATGAATACGCAACATAAATTTTTACTTTTATTATAATTTTTTTTAAAACTTTAAATTGGATAATTATTTCGGAATTGAGAAACCGAAAATTTTAAAACTTAGAAGAAGATGCATGCATGCTCGAAACACAATGTATAATAGTCAGAAAAGAGAGGGGGAGGAAGTGTAAACAGAAATTGTACCATCCAGAAGAGAAGAAGGTGAAGAATTTCACATATTTAACACACTAAATACATTTTATTCCTTCCATACAACAAAGGGAAAAATAGGGGGAAAAAAAAAAGAAGAAAGAAAAGAATAAACCTCAAAATTCTATATATATAAATGGGTATGTGTTTCAAAAATGGCCACAAGATTCATAAACATTGATATTTTTTTGCTTTTCAAGTCAACGACCACCTGGAAAGAAAGAAAACAAAAAACATTATATCATTATTCCAACATTTCTGGACAACTTGCAAAGTTGAAAACTAAAACACTAGTAACAACCTTCGAAGAAAGTCCAAATCAAAACTACTAAGAATACGTAGACTACGTTCGTTGAGAGCAACGTTTAGATGTTATATACATTATTATTATTATTGTTGTTGTTGTTGTTGTTGTTGTTGTTATTGTGCTCCTATTTCTTCCCATTTTCTCTTCATCTAATTATTAATTTAATAAAAATATAGGGTATATCAAAATATCAAACGTGAGCCAAGGACAATGACGCTTCACATGGTAGCAAGCTTTTGTCATATTATCCTTATATAATTATGAACACAAAATTTCTGATTAAGACAATACAATAGAATTAACTAGAAACTTAAGTGATTAATTAATTAATATGAATTGTACTTGGTGTGAAATCAATATTGATCAGTTTCTGTTGAGCAATTCCTCAATCATCTGCAGTGCAATCCTCTCCTCTTCATCCATGGAGTTCCTCTCAGGCGTTCCGGCCGCCGGTGCAGCTTCCGACGTCGTCGTTTGCTGAAACCCGGGTCCATTCTGCTGCTGCTGCTGCTGCTGCTGCTCATGATCATCATCACCATCATCATTGTTCTTCTTCCCGAGATCGACGGTCATGACCCAACTGGAATCCGAACGCGGCCCGGCCCGTTTCTGCCAGACTCCGATGTGGGAATTCTCGGTGTCGAGGCGTAAGCAAGTGAGAGACGGAGACGGCGATTTACAGCATTTCCGGAGCTTGGCGCCGAGAACCGCCGAAAGTGCCGGAGAAGAAGAAGACGACGACGATGACGGAGGACGATCGGAGTTAAGCACACTCTTATTATTGGTATTGATTCCCGGTTGTTGCTGATTGGTTTGATCGATTGGGAAGTTGGTTTTGGCGTTTCTTCCACTCATTAAAATGGCAGCTTCATCGTAAGCTCTGGCTGCTTCTTCCGCTGTTTCAAATGTCCCTAACCATACCCTCCTTTTCCTACAACAATATAACCCAAAAAAAAAAAAAAAAAATCGAATTACATTAATAATGATAATAATAACTGGGATATTATATATAATTTGCAAATCTTTTTTAGTAACTCCGACTTATACAACGTACGACAAACAACAATACAACATGATGATTATTGATGAATGAGTTGTGTGTGTGTGTGTGAGAGAGAGAGAGAGAGAAAAGATGGAAATTATACAGGAGAGGATGGCGAATCTCGGAGACCCAGGATCCCCAATGGCGTTGTCTGACGCCTCTGAACTTTTTCGACTGTACCATGTTTAAATTCTTTGTCAGATACTAGTACTATACTAAACTAGGATGAAACTAGAAGTAGTTTATTCTTGTTTTTTGTGTGTGTTGCTGAAAATGCGGGGGCCGACGGAACTGAGAAAACTGCAGTACTTGTGAATTTTTCATCAATGACTGATCAGGAGGAGAGAGAGAGAGAGAGAGAAGCTGATGATGCTCCATATTTATAAGGAGGACGGAGAGAAGGCACTGAAATATAATGGCCAGAGCACATCGATCTCATCCATTGAATAAAAATGATCCAACGTTACCATTTCACTTTGTGATACATGAAAATAAAAAACAATTCATTTTATCATTACACAATGAAATATAACACTCTATCCACCATTTATGTAGAATAGTTTTCTTTGTTGTACAACGAAATTACATTTAGGCAGATGTAACAAAAACTATGTATTCCTTCTGTTACAGTTAAATTTTCATTTTTTGTGCAAATAATAATAAAAGTAAAAATCTCACATATCGAAAAACGTGTGTAGTTTAAAATTTTAAGGTGTTATCTCTTTTTTTTTGGGTGCATAAGATATTGTCTCGTTTGTTTGTTATATAAATATATATATATATATAGTATATAATAATAATGTAAACAAGACGATCATTTTCAGGAAAAGTATATCATTTCGTTTGTGCTGCATCAACTACGTACTTGAACCCATTCTACAGGATAAAACTAGTTTGATGACTATAGGCAGTTGGAAATTACTATTGCGTGAATAAGAAGGATTAAAAATAGGAGGAATAACAGCAATTGCTTTGCTAGCATTAAACAGAAAAGGACTCCCATTGTCGGCGAGAATATGTAATTACCAGAAGTAAGCAAAAGAATAACGCAGCCCGCCTCTTTGCTGTGGTCCTAATTAAATGACTAAGTCCCACCTTCGTGTTTACTGTTTACAGTACGTACATTATATAAATCATGGAGTATTTACTCACAGCTCAGTGCCATTAAATTGATAAGAAGATCATATAGTAACTCTAATGTAGGTTCTCTTCAATATCACCTTTCTCTTCCATTTTCCTTTGTCCATCATATCCATCCTTTTGGTAACTTATTGCTCCGAATCGCCATTTTGGTTTTCCTCCCTTGCATGTGCGCATTTTGCTTTAGTATATATACCACCATAAAATCTCATGTATATATGTATATATATATATGTATATGTATATATGTATTCTATCTGTCTTAAAAATAATTATTAATAAAGAAAGTCCATTAAAAAAATTGAGTAGATGTTAGTATGTTTTTTTTTATTTTCTTAAACAAGGGTACATTGCAAAATATAATCTCTCGATGGGTTTTTTCTACTCGTCATTTTAAAACTGTTTCAGTTAACCCTCCAATTTGATTATTCGGCTTCATTCCTTCGGTTCTCTTAAAGGATGCAAAATGAAGCTAAACAACTTCAATTTATGTATTAGAAGTGTATGACGTGGGGCGCTTAATAACAACCCAGTGGTTCGTGAAAATACAAACTGGACAATAATTTCAGGATATAAAAAATATTATTGTACCAGATTAATAACGAGCAAGTGATTCATGAAAACACAAATTAGATAATAATTTCAGGACGTATAACTGTACTTAGACATTCTGTGACAAAGTAATGCGCAGTCATATTGCATGCAAGGATAAACTTTTTTCCTGTAAAACTAAACAAGATAGTATATGGGTGGTCCTCTTAATTTAGTTCATAATAATAATTGCATCTGGACAATATTGATGGAAATTCCAATTCCACTGTACTGCCTAGCGACGATTAAGTAGTCATTATTTGGTCTCAATCTCGTGACGTTATTATTAGTAGTAGTTGCTATAATAATTATTGTAGGTGTTCAATTAAAGAGGATTAGAAGATGATGTTTAATTAATTTGCATTACACTATAATGATCATATCGTACTATGCTAAAAACATAGATATTTGTGTTGGTGACGACGTTTATGTGGGACTGCATGTAAACAAAATATTAATGAGTTTCTTTATTGCCACGACTAAGACTTTTTTTTCTTCTTCTTCTTTTTTTTTTTTTTGGGGGTAACATAATCTGATAGTCAATTAGTCATCCTTAATTCTTTTATTATCTTTTGTAAATTCTTGATATAATATTTTTAAGAAAACTTCATCATAACATGAAATATAGGATTGAGAGAATATATTGTTCCTCTGCGGAGTTGTTGATCGATGGATTTTTCCAAAATGTGTTCAATTTACTGGAGTGGGAGTGAGCAATTGGGTCAAAATGTAATATAACTTTCAAAATTGTGGGTGGATTATTACCAGAAAGAAAAAGTAGCCAAGTTGACAATTAATGTAATATGTACTATATTGCCATTTTACATTAGCTGGCTGGCGTTTTGCGCTCCTTTAATTTTTGGTCATTTCATTTCGAATTACCTAACCATCATACTTTCAGCCTAGCAAGAGCATTCAATGAGGTTTGGTTCTTGACGAAGAACGAAAGGGAAAAACAAATCATAATGCACCAAAAGGGTTCAATAAAAGACTACTCCAGTTATAAATATGCATATATGTGCAATGGGTATTTCGCCTCTTTTACGAATAAGGCGGAATTTGCCTACAACCGCTAAACGACTATAGTATAGAGATTAGAAATCCTTTTATATATATACTAGTGATGTCTGGTCGCGCAATGCGCGACCCTGGCCCAGTCTATCTGTAGATCTTAGAAATATTTATATTTGAAAAAAAATAAAATTTTGTATTTGGAGCGATATATTTTAGAAATATTTGAAGGATTTAGAAATGTTTTATAAGTGTGATCATAGAAATATTTGTATTTCGCAAAAAAAAAAAATGTATTTCGCCATGTATGTTTTAGAAATGTTTTATAAGTGTTACTTATTAAATATAAATAGCCTTAATCGAATATATGTGTTGAAGTAAATGTTAGATAAAATATAAAAGCATCCTAATAAATTTAAATATTAGTAAGATGATTTATTGATGTTCTCCATTGGTCGTGCCAAATCAATACTTAGTTTTAGAGATTTTTAATAGCTTTGTAATAAGCTTCATCCGAAGAGTATACACTTAAAACAAAATTGACACTTTGTAACAAAAAACCTAATTGATCAATTCAATTTAAAAAATCACTCTAGTTGAATGAAACATAAAGAAAAAATTAAAAAAAAATGTCACGTAAAGTGCAAAGGGAGATTTAGTAATTTTGTTATGGTTAGACAAAAGGACAATTTAGTACTTTTTACATGCCACGTGGCAATCATATGAGGTGTTTGAAAGGGAGGTTTTTGTTTAATATAGTAGGATATATATATATATATATATATGATGGTTACTCCACAATAAATCTTTTACTAGGTGGATCAAACTGCTCAACTCCTTGTGTATGTCACAAAGGATATCTTGCAATCAGTGGCAAATCAAGTTGATGAGGAGAGGAAGAAACTATATTTGTTTGTGATGTGCTTCAAATTAAATTATTGTTTCTTCCAGTCCTGAAATAATTATTATGATAAAATATTCACTTTTCATGCAATTTATATAAGAAATAAAAATCCAAATCAAGTAATCATTTTGGAAACGGACGAATTTATATATTGTTTTCATCTTATTATGTTAGTGAAAATAATTATGGGGACGAGCAATTATTAATATGTACTGTTTTCTTGAGGGTCAGGTTAGGCAGCGGAGGACGTTCTTGCTGCTGGCTTCTTTATTGATTCCAATGGAATGACTGGAAATTGGTCCTCCACAATCAAACATATTGAGGAGAGGAATAATGCATACAGAGTTGCAATTGTACGACACAATATCATTCTTAGAAAACCATAGAATTAGCAAAACGAATAAAAGTACCATAGCGCGCGTAATTTAGCAATTCCAAATTTTACCAGAAGGCATAATCTACCAGTGTACCAGCAGCTCAGATTTTTGCGTACGTACAATTAGTTACTCATCCCCTCCTTTTAAATGTTACGCGTACTATTTCTTCAACCAATATATAAAACCAAAGTAGAAATACTGCTACCTCATTCTCAAAAGGACAAACCATAATAGCTGAAATATTTGATCCTTGTGCGAATTATGGGAGAATGAATGTCATTGTGCGGTTTGATCAATAGGGAGATTAAGTTTGTATCTGGTTAGAAACTTTGTGACAGATTGCTAGCGATGAGATGTCCGGAAGGTCTACAAGGGCTAGATAGAGTAAAGTCACGATGATGGCAAAGTCATGACTGAAATAAGGTGCAGGTGTTTTTTGCTCGCACGACGTATTGATCTAAGTTTCATTTGTCATAAATTTTATTTAGTATATTTTTTCAATTGAAAATAAAACCTTAAAAGTATTTTATGATAATTGAGAAAGCACAATATATATGTATATATTTAACAACGCATTTTTTAGATTTTTTTTTTAATTAGAAAAACATATTAGATTAAATTTATGACAAATCAAAAAATCTTATAATAAAGACAAGAAGGTGTACACAATTAATACAGATAACGAAAAATCAATAAGCACAAAACATAGAGTTTAACGTGATGACTATTATATGTGAAAAAATAGGAAAGTTTACAATGTATGTTCTTTCATTTAAAACACTTGTCTCTCGCCTTAATTTTTTTCCCCTCACTTCTGCCCCTGACGGCTATATCGTGTTCTCTGCTAATTTTAGTACAAATTTATTGATACTGAAATCCTAACTTATTAATTAACTATTCTAATAAAAATCCATACATGGGTTTTGGATTTTGAGTAGGTACCCAATATATTTAAGCTTCATCCTCTTTCTTGTTTATTTTTTTAAAAGAAAATGTAAGAAAAAGAATGAATTATAGTATCAATTACCAAGTGAGTGATATTGTTTTACGACTTTCAAACCATTTTACTACCTAGGAGTATTTATGGCGAACCAAAAGGGAAAAAAGGAAACCATGGGCGGAGCAATATTAACTAAGAAAAGCATGCTACGGATTTTCCAATTTTTATCAGGGAGAAAAGTTTCAAGAAACAATTGTGTGGTGTCTTTAACCAAGAGTTGTGTTACATATAGTGAAACATCTTAATTATGAAAAAATTATGATTAAATAATTGTTTGAACCTAAACTATTCATCTTATTAGATGGAGTATGGCTGAGAAGTAAACTCGGACGAATGCAGTTCA